ATTCTAAAGCATTCTATTGAGGCATACCAGGGTTAGACATTTAACGGCTTAAACAACTAACAACATAAGCAATGTTTGGCCTAGTACTCACCATAAGGTACATCACAAACTCTATAGCACCAGAATAAGGAACATATTTCATCTTATCAATTTCAGAATTAGATTTGGAAGACTGATCCTTACTTAACACAAAGTGGGATGTCAAAGGAACATTCACATGTGAAGGAGATTGAAAATTGACTTTACTCAAAACCTTTTCTACATAAGAGACTTGGTTTTACAAAAGAGTAGATTAGCATCTATCCCTAATGATGTCAATGTCTAGGATCCTCTTTGCATCCCTAGGTCTTTCATGGAAAAAATTTCACAAAGACATTTTTGCACGTGAACATTGGAATTAAGATTAGGACTTATGATTAACATAAAGTAATAAAAACATTGGCACAGAGGAAGTATCTTTATAGTACAAGCAATGATCACAAGCAGCTTTAACAAAGTTCATAGATTTCATGCATTGATCAAACTTAATATTTCATTGCCTAGGAGGCTGCTTCAGACCATACAAGGCCTTCAGTTTTTTTCGGCAATGCCACTGAAAGTGGGGAAAGCGTCGGGGAACACTTTCCAGTTTATTAAGAAAAGGCTTACAAGTACAAAGATTGATAAAGGAAGGTACAAGATAAAGTTACAAGAGAAGTAAAGGGTTAACAAATAACATTCGTTGTAGGCACACCTACACTGATTGAGAGCAACCGATTGTATTTATGGTGAAATTGGATAGCCCGTTGGAGATAAGGAGGGTACGATTTTGCATCTGGGTGTGCTAACTTATAGCGTTCGAGTCCAGTTACTAGCTTTTGAGGTGACTCATAGTTTGAGTAAATTGGGTAGATGTAATAGTCTTCATCATCTTGGAGCGTTTTGATTGACTTCTAGTTATCAATCCTTCTGTGAAGTCATCTATTTTATGACTTCGTGATTGACTTCTGGTAACCATAGGGTGAGAAGAGTTTTCTATACGGTTGTCCTTGTTCATTTCGGGAGAGTTAATCTGTTCTAGGGGCGCCTCGGAGTCCTCGACTGCACAAATATAATCAAGGCCTTCCTTAGCAAACACATATAATCACTTTTCTTGGGATCCACAAACTCTTCAGGTTAGGTGATATAAATCTTTTTATCAAGATCACCATGCAAGAAAGTAGTGGTTACATCCATGTCTTTCATTTCCTAATTAAAGTGAGCAACAAGAGCAAACATGATTCTAACAGTAGTAAATTTTACCAAAGGAGCAAATATCTCAGCATAGTCCACCCCTTCTTTTTGAGTAAACCCTTTGACCAATAACCTAGCCTTAAACCTCACTGTATTAGGTTCTTCCTTAACCTTAAACAACCATTTACACTTAACCACAGGGTAGTTGGGAGGTCTGGGAACTAAGGTCTAGCTTTGGTTAACTCTCAAAGACTCCATCTTACTTTTCATGGCATCTAGCCATTTCTGGGACTCCTTAGATCTTAGATTTTAGGCTCATCAGTTCTAGAATCTCAAACACATAGTAAGTAAATAGGGAGGTGTCATGCACATGAAAAGCATAATCAGACATATTATCAGAAACTTTCTTGACAGTTCTTCTACTTCTATCTCTAGCAAGTTGATAGTTATGCAAATCAGAGATATCATTGACGATTCTTATTGTTCGATTCCAATTTCATTTGTATTTTTAGAATAGTTTATTTTTAACATAAACACATGTTGTAACTCTTCTTAGTTTGTTGTGTATGTAATTATGTGTGTCAAATTCCAATTCATATTAGATACTACTATATGAAAACTTCGTTAGTGTCACATTCATTTACGGCATATGCCAATTCAATAACTTAAGGTTTCTGTTTTTGAAAATCTTGGAGTCTTTCAAAAAACAAAATCTTGGAGTGGACTCCATTGCCCAATTTCACTCAAATCAAATTCTCTCCCTCAGATTTCTTAAAGATAACATACCACCATCTTCATACCCTAGCTACAACCATATATTGAAGCCACAAAAACTTAGGGGTTGTTTATTCTTTTTCATTAAGTTATGTATGGATTAAGATGACTACACATTCTGTCTAAACCTAAATACTCTTTTTAATTCTTGAGAGATATTTACTCACTTGTCCTATGGTAGGTGTTTTGTGCGATTCTTCACGGCATATGAAGACTCGATCATACCAACGTTCAAATACAACCATTTTGTTCTTATCTGAACTCTTCTTCAATGCGGACATATTTTATTTTCCTTCAAATAGTGCTTTTGAATTAAAAATGAGCGGTGGCCCCATATGCTTAAATTCCAACAAGAAATGTAGCAGTACATACTAATTAACTTATCAATGTTTCACAATCTACTTGGGAAAAATATTCCTGTACACGTTTTTATACATGCACTCCCCTAGTGATCTAGGCAGAAGATTGTTTGTGTAACTTCGAATATTGACGTGTTCACGTGTCCACTAAGAACAACCTCTTTATTTATTTAGAGCAGGTTTCGTAACCTTCATTTTCCACCTTATCGGTCCTAACAGCCAATTTTAACTAAACATGTGACATTTGTTTTGATTACCGGTCTAGGTAACGTTTTAACTATTTTTCATATATTTTTTCTTTGTCACATATTTAGACCCAGGTTTCTGAGATTGTAAATGTCACTTCCTAATTGACAAATGTATTGTGAATGTCATCCATGTTGCATAATCCACCTTCAATTTTGAACTACCAATAAATTCAATGGGAATGACATTTATAACACATCTGTCAATTCAGATGTGACTTTTACAATCTCAGAAACACGGGTCTGATATTTCAATATGATGACTAATTTAGGAATCAAAAGTATGTGTTGAAGTTTATTCCTTCAACTCCAAAGGCCCAACACCTTCCTTTGGGTTTCATAGGGAATGTTTGATGCGTCGAATATGATAAATGGCACAAGCAAATAATGGGCAAGCAAACAAAATGTTTAGTAAGCGTGTCAAATTTTTATTAGGTGATAATAACGAACAATTATGGCGCACCCTACTGTCAACCGAGGTCGGTCGTCTATCTGAGCTGAGAATACAAAGGTGGTAATTGCTATAACTAGTGAATACAAGTTGCAATGCCTAACTATGACATAAATGGTGCTATTTATACTATCAAGGGGTAGGTGGCAGTGGTGACATGGAGTCGCATGAGTGGGTAGCTTCCCAAACACCACATCTACTGCATTTAATGCGTTTCTCGCCAATATCTTGTTTTCCCGCCAAAGGTCCTGACGAGTGTCCCATGCTTTCCTGACTCTGTGTCCAAGTAAGCACAAGGCCAAGCCGTTGCTCGGGCCGTGCTGAGCGCCCTCTTCGAGGCCCTTGGATCAGAACCTGGCTCTCTTTGGACAAGAATACTAATGTCGAGCGTCGCGTAGGTCAGACTATCGTCGTGTAGACCACCTCATTCGGCCGCTCCCAAGTTGGGCTTGGGTGGCTTTCCTGTCTAAGGGTAATGAGCCGCTCCTACGTCGGGCCAATTACCTCAACAGTATCTTTTTCTCAACGTGTTTTAAACATATTTTTCATGATTCAACAACTAATATATTGAAATCACTTTAAAAAAATTCATTAATTTTATGGGATTATTAGTGTGTTTTATTTTGAATTGGAATTTGTTGGTGTGGTCTGTTTAAGTCTGATTTGATCTTGTCTGATTGGACTGATCCGATAAACGTTTGATTTATGTGTCTTTATAACTGTCCAAGTTTGATTTGATCTGATTTATTTAAGAGTATTCTAGTCTATTGTTGAAACGAAAACAATGCCAAGAAAACATCATTGGTTACCAATCTAGCTCCTACGGTGTATTAAATTCGAGTGGTAAAATAGAACAAAGCGTGAAGAGAAAATTGACACACTGTTTTGCGTGTTGGTCATAGAGAGGAGCGACAGTGGTGATATGGATAGATTTGCGAGGCGGTGAGATGGCCCACGAGAAGCCGCCCTGGCAGCTCACCCGGCGACGCCTGCGGACCACCACATCTGTTCCTTCCACACCGACCCCACCGCTCCCCGCACGGATTGCTGCTGACCCCTTCTTTTTTCCATTCACTTTATCTTTGACCCACCCCTTCACTTTGGGGACCACGCCTATCTCCTTTGGCGGGCCCCGTTCCATCCTTTCTCACGTGTCCCCTTTTCCACCTCAATCTTGACTGGAACTTGTCAAATGGTTCACGTCAATCTCATTACGTTCTCCTTCGAACCAAAACAACTGCTCCTTTTATTTAAATTATTTATTGAATTTGTATTACTTCTATACACATACTCCCTCCTTTTCCGAAACAAATTCCACATTTTACTTCACACATATTAAGAAAATAAATTTGACTTTACTGTAGAGTGCACTGTTTGGCACTGTTTGAACACTGTTTGACACTGTTTTAAAGTAGATGATTTGCCAAATAAGGAAATGTTTGAAAGTGGAACTTAATTTTGAATCTGCCCGAAAAGGAAAGGTGGAACTTGTTTCAGAAACGGAAGGAGTATTTGTATAAAATGATGTCTTTTTTTTTAACGAATTGCCTATGAAAATAGGGGCGGTGATAAAAGTGGATTCAAACATATTTTTTGTAGTCTCTCCTTCTCAAATTGTTTCGCAAAGTCAACATTTTTTGTCAAATTGACATCCTAATTAAGCGAACAAAATGAAACTGTTTGATCAAGAAAAGTCAATTTTACAAATCAATTTGGGATGGAGGTAGTAATTTGTTTAAGCTTTGTTTCATTTTACGTCTAATCTCACAAAAGGGTCGAAATTAACCATTCACCAAGTTTTATTGCATTCGATCAATTTTTATTTTTAATTCAGTTTTGTTCAATATCTATTGTTAATTTCATTTTTGTTTTGTTTAATTTAATAGGAGAACAGTTATGACAATGTTAGTTTAAAAAGCTTGCATGTTAAACATTAATCAAGTGAATTAACAATATCAGAGCATCTCAAAACTTCAATCTAACCACCATTTGATACGATCTGCTAAATCAAAAGACAAAAAACAATCTTTATACAGTTCCATTTGATGAACTCGAAACATGGACAATTAGAGGTTGCTAATATAAAACTAATGAACTAATTGAAACAAAAAAAGACTACAGCTCTTCGATGATTACGGCCATTTCTCATCTTTGGTTGTGATTTTCAGGTGTTCTTTGGGTAAGTTCATCTGATGGAGACCCGGAAGTGTCCATGAATTGATGCTCTTTCTTGTCGTAAATCTGAAGAGAAAAATCTCTGAGCATTTGGGCGGTACTTGCGGCGGCGTTTGAGGAGCTGGTGGGACTAGTAGAACTGCAAATTGGGGCCATTGTGGACATCTCCTTGCCGGAATTGTTACCTGGGCCGAAACTGCTGTTTGACACGGAGGAGTTCGGCTGAGCTAGAACTTCCCCGCGGGGAAAACAAACTCCCGGTTGCACTGCGGAGACGAAGCTAGAAATCGGTCTCCCCGGGACGCTGTAAACAGTGGTCGCTGTCGCAGGGATTGCCCACAACTGGGCTTGGCTTGAACCTCCGGCTGCTGACGTCGGCTGCGGCAGCATCAGGAACGCCCCGCCCGGAACAGCCCCGGTGGGGACTATGCCGTTCCCGGAACCAACCGCCCACACAGGAAGCAGCCCTTGTGGACTGATCGGAGAAACAGGGGCAAAATGGGAAGGTTCGTTCACGTCGAAAAACTCACTGTTGGGACCCCTCTTTCTCCTCCTCTTCGTCGAGGAATCGCCACCAACCCCACCGTTTTCCGTCGCCGGAGAAGTCGTTGGAATCTTAAGCTCACCGTTCACGGAGACGGCGATAGCCGGTATCGTACCCGTACCAGTGGCTTCGATGATGGCCGGCTCCGCCCGCTCGAGGAGCCACCGGATGGTCTCGCCGTCGGACTTGTGGCCAAGCTCCCTGGTCAACTGAAAAATCCTAGCCGCACACGCCGCCGGCATACGAACCCTCCTCCCCCGACCTTCCACCTTGGTATGGCGGTCCTTCGAGGACCGTTTCGCCAATGGCTTGACCTGAAGCGGCACCGCCACCTGCAAATTGTTTTCCACCGGCTCCGCCTTCAACAAGGCCAGACTGTTCGAGGAACCAGCGCCGAACGCTTCGGACGCCGGACCAACCGCCGTAATCGTGTATTCGAGCGGGTCTCCTAGCAGCGGATCTGCCGGACCGTTCACCTCCTCGTCGGCATCGAATTTCTCTTGCCGAATTTCACTTGACGCCATAATTACACAGGCCGAAAAATCAATTTCAGAAATCGAATCCAAAAGGCGATCAATTACCAGAAACAGAACCGGCGAGACAATGAACAGAGAGTCAGAGAGGCTGCAACTTCTACCACGGCATCGTTGGATGAAGAAGCATATCCTTGTATTCGTTGACTGAAGCTAGCCTGGAATTTGTGTTTTATTTCCTGAAAATAAAAGCATTGAAAAGATATTACGTGTATGAAGAGAAGATATAGAGAGAGGAAGGAACCCTAGAAGGAGGCCCACTTACTCTCTGGAGGGACCCAGAAAACCCTACATTAGAAGAAGAAGGTGATGATGATGGACGGCTCAGGGTTGTTTTAACAAGAAACCGGAATAATGTGGGCCCACACCAGTGGGTCCCTCCCCGTTTTTCTGTTGAACAGTAATTAATTTGGTGTAGGATCGCGTACGGAGTAGATCGTTATTTGGTTCCTCATTCATGCAAGTATTGTTTGTTTGGATTGATATTGTTTGGGATGAAGAAATTAGGAGAGAAATGGAATGGATGATAGATATCTCAATCTAATATAGTGGCCACTTTTCTAGTCCTGTTTTTTGTTTATAAATTCTGATTTAGAACTCTATATAAAAGTGTTTTATAATACGTAGTATTACATACTCCCTCCGTCTTAGAATTATCTTCATTCTTTCCTTTTCGGTATGTCCCAAATTTATCTCTTCTTTCCTTTTTTGGCAAAGAATTTGTGGTTCACAACAATTCTTACACATTTCTCTTTCCTCTGCACAACTCTCCACCACTCATTTCTCACTATCTTAAAACCCGTGCCCATCAAATAAGGAGATAATTTTGGGACGGAGGTAGTACTATGTATAGATATAGATGTGTCCTACTCTTTAATACCCCTACATTTCCCTGTAACAAATAAGTTGTTCATAGTGTTTCACTTTATTAGACTTTAATATCAATTACAAGTTTTACATTTTCAATCATTTTATTAATAATTGTGTCAATCTCAAATGAGATACATAAAATAGACCAGAGAGTAGGTTTCTAAAACTCATTTGGTTATAGTGAAATATATACAGCCAATACATGATATTGACGCAACTTTTTCGGATTTTAAAAGATAAGGTGATTTTACATATTTAACTTATACAAATTGAGAAAAAGTAATATGACTCCATAAAATGTGGAAGCTGAAATTCTAGACATAGTGGAAAAACAAAAACTTACTCCTCCATCCGTCCTTAAATTATTTTTCAAATTACATTTTGTACGAGTATTAAGATAATGAGTATTGTGTTACGAGAGTTGTGCTAATGACAAAGAAATATGTAAGAATTATTGTAAATAACAAATTCTTTGCCAAAAATAGAAATTGAAAATTATTTTAAAACGTACGAAAAAAAGAAATTTGGAAACAAATTCAGGGACTAAGGGAATATTTATTAAAGCGAATATTTATCAAAGCCCTTCCTATTTTTTGAACAACACAAAGAAAAATTCCAAGGATCCAGGGGCGGAGATACATTGTAGTTTAAGGGGCCATGGCCGGCTAGGGCTGGCAATATCACACGCACCCGCGGATACCCGATCAACCCGAACCAAAAATATGGACGAAAACCCGAAGAAATATGGATGAGAAATGGATGACGAGTGGATTGAAAGATGGGTTGGATCGGGTGTGCATGAACGCTCATCCAAACCCATCACCCGATCCATCACCCGCTTCATCCACCCGCAACCGCTGACCAGCATATAAATATATAATAATAATAATAATATCTATTTAATAATATATATTATTAATAATAATAAAAATAATAAAAATAATAATAATTAATATTAATATATTAACAGATACTGCATAACTACGGAGTAGCATTGTAACAACTAAAATAGGAGCCCAGTCATAATCCCGTTAGCCCTAAATCCCCTAATCATCGGGCAATAAAGACAATTGGAGAGTTTCAATAAGTGACAATTGAACTGCAAAAATAGTTTATGTTGATGCAGAAATGTGGAATTGACAACTTGAAGAAGTTTTATGTCTCTTTTGTTTGACAATTAGGATGTTTTTACTTGGACTGTAATTCGTCCCAGACCAGATCAAATCAGACCAGACCAGACCAGACTTGAATAGTTATAAAAATACAAAGAAACCAGACCAGACCAAACCAGACTAGTTCAGACCAGATCAGATCAGACCAGACCAGACCAGATCAGACCAGACCAGACTAGCAAATTACAGTCCAAGTAAAAACATCCTTAGTTCTTTCTTTGTCATCGTCAATGAATTAATGATTGTAATATACTTAATTGCTCATGTTTTTGTAGTTACTTTTCAATGAATTCTTAATTTTTGTTATGATTTCTCTTTATAATTTATTTATTTTGTCTTTCAAGTTTGACAATTCACATTCACCCGTTACTCAACCGATCCACCCGATAACCCATTCATGATGGATGGGTTGAATGTGGATGTAGATTTTAATGGATGATGGACAGGTGGGTGGACTGTGAAAAATTAATGGGTGGACGACGGATGAGCCTTCACCCGGTATAAATCCGACCCGCTGCCACCCTTACATGGCCCCCCACTTTTTTATTTCTTTAAATATTACTATTAAAAATTATTTGCCTCCTCCCCTCAAAAAAAATTACGAAGGCATTAGGCAACCCTTTATTCTCTAAAGTTTTAAATTTTATATTTGAGAGATTTGCAATCTTAGTCGATAATTTTTGTGGTCCGCATTGTTAGTCCTGTAACTTTACTCGCATAGTGATTAGGTCCTTTAACTAATAGGTCTTTGCATTTTAAAGAATTTTCCACCTGAAAGTACACTTTCATGTAAAAAAATCAACATTAGCCACATCTTTTGTGGTGAATTATCGGTATGAAAGTATACTTTTCAGTGGGAAAGTGCTTAAATTGCAAAAAATATTAGTTACGTGACCAAATTTGTGGGCAAGTGAAGTATCAAGATTTAAAACGAGCACAGAGTAAATTTATTGAATGAAAATTGCAAATTTTTCTTTACATTTTAATATTTGTGTTTTATATTTGGGACCTCCTTGTACTTTAAACTATGCCACGATTTATTCATTTCTATACTTTAAACTATTTTCTAGTGGAATATTCATTCAAACTACATCTTCCTCTACCTCTTCATCTTCCTTCTTTAAACTACATAAAACTTTAATTTCAACGTACATGAGTACATCTACCAGCGGGAGATACTAGCAATACTAAGTGTGGCTACACCTTATAAGTAATTATTAAGTAATATCAATACTAGCTAAGTATTTATTTGAGAAAACAAGAGAAATCAAGCAAACTAAATATTTTGAATAGCCAATAATGAATGAATCTCAACGACAATCATACGATGAACAGAATAATATCAAGAACAATATCATCAGATTAAAACAACTTCCATTGAATACTTGACAATGATGATGAATGAAAAGTACAGAGTATTTTACGAAACTCTTCGATCTCTTCTACCGCTACACGATAATATGACCAATAATAATGAATAGTGCGGCTTGGGATCGGTAGGTTGTACGAGTAACCTTCGACCCTTTATATAGGTGAGATTAATCGAACACCTAATCACATAAGGATGGGCCGAATTAATAATTAAATGACCCCTAATTAATTACAATGCCTACTAATTAAGTCTAATAGACATAGATAAATACAATTAAATTGAACACAATAAAATATGTTCTAACAATCTCCCCCTTTGTGTTTAGTTTGCAATGAAGCACAGATTATCTTTGTCTTTGTCTTGGAACTGCAAATTAGCTTCCTTTGTCTTCTTTGAAAGACTTTCTCAATAAATCCTTACAATCTCCCCTTTGATATCTTTTTGGCAATTTGATCTTTGATGTTGGGGGTTGATGAATCTTTAAAATCTTGCATGTAGCTTTTGTCTTACAGAAGTTGCTCTTCATCAGCTTGAATTAAGTTTGATGACACCTCTAGAATGAATATTCTTGAAGAATTTCAGGCGCACACGGGACTCTTCTTCAGTTCTTGAGTATCTGACCTCTGTCTCTTCCAGAATGTAGTGTTTTTGACTATTTGACGTGAATGTTTTAGTGGAGAACTTGTCAGTGGCATAATGGAGAATTTTGTGAGTATATGCTGATTGTTTGATTTGAAGCTGAGTGGGAAGACGTGAGCATATGTTTGTGTTGGAGGAGAGAAATGTCCGGGAATGATTGGTGAAAATTTAAATGCACTTGGACCGCTCTCCCCCTCATGACGATCCGATGAATCGGTACGTCATGCTTTTGTTCGTCCTTTTATTCTGCAAAACAAAACTAAAATGCAGATACAGTGAGATGTCCCCTTATCACAACATCAATGTAAACACTGATGTGTGGCTTGTATACAATAATCAAAGCGTTAAAGCTCTAGTAGGACTTTCGGCTGATCATCGTGAGGCATCCATAGTAGATGTTACTCTTGTCGTTATGGCATGATCACAATGATATGCGAAGAAAATTTGTAGCCCCTCGGGGTCGCGTAGACGCCCGTTATCATCACTATAGAGATGAACTCTTAAGAAATAGCCTGAAAATGTTGGTAATTTTTATGTTGCAAGATCAGGATTTCCATCTAATCATCGGTCTACATCTATAATAGATGAGCTCTATGAAAGTTCTCGCATGTTTTGAAGGCCAGCAACTGACTCTAAAATGTGTATGTATCCTTGAAAAATTAAAAAAATTTGGGAGTGTGAAAACTAGACAGGACGTGATCAATGAATCTTCAGGGGCATGGGGTTATGGGCTACTGTAGTCAGTATCAGTCGCCTCAGAAGAAGTCAGTGATGAATGACGAGGTTCCCTGTGAACTTTGATGAAACACCCGTCTGTTGGGAGATATATGAGTGGTCTAGGCTAAGGTTGTGCATGCGTTGTTGGACAAGATGCATCGACTTCTACCTAAGATCTGAATAATTCGGTCATGTACCTATGGGGAATTGTCCGGAGTATTTTAGTGATTAGGATTGATTTTTGATTGATCGACAATTGAGGTAGCAGACATGTCTTTGAATATTGTTTTCTCGCTCACTTGAACCCTCTACTTTCCTATTTCATAAAATGGTCACTCACTCACCGAGCCATTAAGACTAGGGGTGGGCAAGAATACCGGAAAATCGGTATACCACACTTACCGTACCG